TCTATTCACAACCCTATTTCGAAGAGTTAAAATAATAGTTGAAAAATCTAACGATTAACACGGGCGCCTCCAATCAGAACCATCACCTACCGCACAAAGCAGACAAAGATGTCCTGGTATGCCTGCAAGCATGTGAGGCTGACCCTATGGCTGTGTCCACTCAATAGATAGGAGAAAGAGATGGCGCATCTTCCCACAGCCACAGGTGTAGCCTAGCAGAGCCTTTTCTCACAGCAACGAAGCAGCATTCGTGGAAAGACTTTATGGCTTACCTGCTTAGAAACAGGCCCCCTCTCCCCACTTCTCTTTCTCGCTCACTGGCTAGGTCATCCTTGCCTCCTCCAGAGCGGGAGCTGAATGAAAGTGGGCAGCAAGGGCAGAAGTTGTATCCCCAAAGTGGGACTAGTCAGGTTGGAGCAGAAACAGGTCAGGGTGAGCAGATAGTGAGAGGATGATGGCAGACTTGTTCACAGGCTACTGGGACTGTCAGGGCACAGAGGTGGGTAGCCACATGTTGATCGCCCTGTGTGCTATGGTCTCCTTCCTGCTAGTCAGCTCATGAGGAAGAGGCTGCTTGGTAGAGTTGGTCCCTCCCTGAATGTTCTCTCCTGTCACCTCTAGGTAGGAGTCCACAGTATCATCTGGGAGGAGAAAAGTGATCTGGGCTCAGGGGTGTGACAGTAAACAAGGGGTGTCCATTAAGGGACTCGGGTGTGCAGTATCAATGGAGAGATGGGATGGAATCCTGGTGTTAACTGGAGGATCTGAGATAACAATACATAAAAAGGAACTAATGCAGAGATCAAAGACCCTGACCTGAAGGCAGGAAGAATTGGCCAGGGTCAAAGATTCAAACTGAACAGAACAGAGACACAGAGGCCAAGTCCAGCAAGCACCATTTTCCATAGAGAGACAGTAAACAATAAATGAAGCATCACAGACAGGGATAAGGGATCCATGGACTAAAAAGAGCTGGAAACTAGAAGACAGAAGCCATAGATGACCCCGTGTGACCCAAGTGGCTGGCTGCAGCAGCTGCCACCATCGCATGCCCCTTCCTTAGGAGCACTCCTTGCCTGGCTACTCAAAAAGCCATAGCCTGTCTGAATGCCACGAGCAGAAGCTACCTTCAGAGAAAATGCAGCTACAGCCCCCAGCTCTGATCTTGCTATGAAAGGAGCCCCAGCCCTCCGCAGAACGCTGTATGGGAAGGAGTCTGGTCTTAGGTGTCCAGGGCAGGGCAGGAGTCCAGGACAAGCAGATTCTCAGTGTTCCTCTCCAGCTGCAGTCCCTTCTCCAGGCTCCCAATGATACCCACACAGATCTTCTCTGGACAGTCTCAGACTCACTAGACTTCAGAGCTGAAGGTGACTTGGACATCCAGCCCTTATGAGAGCATCTATATTCTCTGACATCTCACTACCAAAGGATGCTCCCAGACCCCCAGAGACAGGAGTCTCACTCTTTCTTGAAGTAGCTTAGGTAACTATGATTGTCCCTCAATAAATTTCTTGTACAGAACTGAGAGGGGGCACTGGCTCCTTCTGACATCAATAATGAGTTCTCTTTATCCCCCTCCCCTATATTCTTCCTTTCCACCCTCCAACCCCACCCTTCTCTCTCCTCCAGGATCCCCCTCTGCAACATGGTAACTCTTACCTGCCCTCACCTTTCTTTAGGATGCTGTGTGGTACCATCCGAATCTCCTCCTCTTGAGAAGCTTTTCTTGTCTTGATCCTGCCCAGAATTCCCAAGCTGGGTCTTGGCCTCCACCCAACAGTTCTAATGCCAGAGAGCAACCCCAACAGACTTTTTCTGGCAGCCATAGGGATCACTCCTCCCTTCTGCATGGCTAAGGGCTCCCAGGAACAGTCTCTGGGGAAACCATTGTTGTAATGGATGAGCCCAGGGTTGGTAGTCACACAGACTTGGTCACTGTGACCCAAGTAAGCCATCTAGCTTCCCAGAGCCCCAGTTTCCTCCATAAATTAGAGTTATGTGTTCCCATCCCATGGTCACACTTGTGGTCCAGTATCTGACATATCCTGAGTCTCTGCAGTATGGCCACCCCCATGTTACAGGCATGGAAACAGAATCATGGAGCCTAAAGTGGCCCATGGGGAGCCAGGAATTTTGTCAGCAGTTTTATGTGACCACAAAGGCTGTGTTCCCAACCAGTACTCAACCCAGGATCATGATCCAGCACAAGTCAGATCAGGGACAGGAAGCCACGGGGACTCTTAGTTCACACAGGACAGAATCACGTGTAGAAGTATGTAGGACTGGAGGCAGTTGACTAGTGGACTCTAGAGTCAAAAGTAGCAATTGGTGGGGGGAGGGGCAGGGACTTCTGGGGCTTCTGATAATACATACCTTCCTAGGAACCAAAACGAAAAGAGGCGTATAGCCAGTGTTCTATAGAGGTGGGGCATTGATGATCAGAGAGCTAAGAGGACTCATCCAAGGTCAAGCGTCTGAGGTCATTGAAATGCCATCAAGATATGACTCTCAGGTGCCTCCCAAGTGCTCTGTGAGGTGGAAAGATAAGCCAAGCCCACCAGAGTCTCTAGCCTGGTCAGGTGGTCTGCTCTCAACCTTTCTGATGTCCAGTTCACCTGCAGGATGGCTTCCCCAAGCCAGATGCCAACCTTCTGAAGAATCTTGAGGTGTTTTCAAGGTCTCAACCCCAGTCACAAATGGTAGAGAACAGTTAGGAAGCAGAGATTCTCAGTCCTGAGATCATTCCACCATGATTCCTTCATGGCCAGGTTGATCCCTGCTAGATTCTCTCCTGCTCTTGAATTCCAGGTATGACCCACACTCATCAAGGAAATTAACAAACACAGAAAGGCAAGACCACAGCATTGCTCCTCGGTTCCATACAGCAAGGAAAGGTTCCATTTTGACTACGGATGCGCTCTGATTTTTTTCTCTGACTGAATGACAGCGGGTCTTCTTTCTTGGCTGGTAGTGCATTTCACATTTAATGTTGTTGTAACTGACTCTCATTGGAGAACTATCCGCTTAGCTTTTCTTTGCCAAAAGCAACATATATCTGCTGACATTTGGGGGAGGGGCAGTCAACACATCACTAACAGTCCAAGCCAAAGTGACAACCCTGTTTCCTCCTCTTCAAGAGTCTCTGACTGGATGGCAGATAAGGTACTTGGTCTGGTCCCATGAGACTTACTGGGGAATTCCACCAATGGGCTTCGATTTTTTTAACATTTATTTATTACTTATAGGAGTGTTAGTTGTGTGTGTACGTGTGTGTGTTGTGTTGTGCTTATATGTGTAAGGATGTGGGTATGCCACATCACACATGTAGAAGTCATAAGACAGCTTGTGGGATTGGTTCTCTCCTTCCATCATGCGAGCTCCTGGGATCAAACTTGGGTCATTAGGACTGGAAGGAAGCGTTTTCACCTGCTGGACTGACCACCCACCTCACCGGACCTCTACTAATGAGTTTTGAGAAAAGAATTGGTTTCCTAACAAGAGAGACAGGTAACTTTGGTCCAACTCCATCCTTCAAGACCTCCCCATTTTTTTTTTTCATCATGAATACAGATGTAGTAATTAGAGTCCAGCAAGCCATCTTGAGTCTGTAAGGACACGGCTCAAAAGTCAACAGTGTCTTTCTTATTAACATTGTTCCACGTGAGCTAACACAAGTAACTGGCCACTCATTTGTGTGCACATCTGCACCATTGCTAATTGAGGTTTTCTGTTTACTTCTGTGGGCAAATTCTAATGTAGGTATGTGGTGGTATTGTGTTCCCCAAAATATTGTGTACCTTAATAAAATTATCTGGGGTCAGAGAACAAAAAAGCCACAAGATACTTAGACTAGAAAATGTTAGCACACGCCTTTAATCCTAGCATTCCAGAGACAGAAATCCCTCTGGATCTCTGTGAGTTCAAGGCCGCATTGGAAACAGCCAGGCATCGTGACTCACGCCTTTAATCCCAGAAAGCAGCCTTTAATGCCGGGGAGTGGTGGTAGAAAGCAGAAAGGTATATAAGGCGTGAGGACCAGAAACTAGAAGCATTTGCCTGGTTAAGCTTTTAGGTTTTGAGCAGCACAGTTCAGCTGAGAGCCATTCGGATATGAGGACACAGAGGCTTCCAGTCTGAGGAAACAAGACCAGCCGAGAAGTTGGCCAGGTGAGGTAGCTGTGGCTTGTTCTGTCTCTCTGACCTTCCAGTGTTCACCCCATTACCTGGCTCAGGTTTGATTTTATTAGTAAGACTCTCTAAGATTCCTGCTACATAGGTATTGGGCCTTTTATTTTATTTACTTTTTTGGGGGGGTGGGTGTGGATATGATGTATGAATGTGTGTCCAAGTGTGTGTCGCTGTGTGTGTCTGTCTGCGAGCAGACCTTTCTGTGAGTGCACATGTAGAGGCCATTAAGTTGATTCCAGCTGACTTCCTCTCTAAGTCTCCTACTTTTTTTGAGACAGGGTCCCACGCTGAACCTGGAGCTCACCAATTGGCTAGACTGACTGGCCAGCAAGGCCCCGGACCCCCGTCTCTGCTTCCCAGTGCTGTTATCACAGGCTCATATGGGTGAGCTTGGCTTTTCACATGAGTGCTAGGAATTGAACTCAGGTCCACATGATTGTGCAGCAAGTACACTACTGACTAAGCCGTCTTCCCAGCCCAATTCTGCCTTTTTAAAGACATGATCTGTGGTAATTAACTTTACTTATGTATTCTTTATAACCATTATTTTCAAATACCTGTCCTTCCCCTATTAGATATGTCATTTTGATTCCATTTTTTCCTACTATAATAATACTAAATTGGACATCACTGTAGTACTTCAAGATTTTCTGTACAAAAACCTTACTGAGTTGAGTTAGAGTTATAAAAAATAAATATACCAATTGTAGAATTTGTTTATTAGATGAAGTGACAGGCAGCTGTGTTGGTCAAATCTTAGATGGTCTTATAATAAAAACCCAGAGCCAGATATTGGGGTAAAAGCTGAAAGATCAGAGAAGCAGAGCAAGCCCCAGCCAACCTCACCTCACCAACTCCACAAATCCTCTGACTGAAATCCTCTGAGTCTTCACCCAAAAGGATCTCAGCTGAACTGCTTTAGTTCCTGTTTCCTCACATCTTATATCATCTTATATACCTTTCTCCGCCCAGCCATGTCACTTCCTGGGATTAAAGGCTTGTGTGTTTCCCAGTACTGTGATTAAAGGTGTGTGCCACCACTGCCTGGCTCTGTTCCCAGTGTGGTCTTGAACTCAGAGATCCAAATGGATCTCTGCCTCATGAGTGCTAGGATTAAAGGTGTGTGCCACCACTGCCTGATCTCTATGTCTAATCTAGTGGCTGGTTCTGTCCTCTGATCTCAGGCAAGTTTATTAGGGTATACAATATATCACCACACAGCTGAATCACCTTCCACCTACTCATGATAATCAAAGCCCTAAAGAAAACATGTGAGATCATGTTCTTGTCAGATCACAAGCAGAAATTGATGTAATCCTATTTAAATTAAAAACACTAAAAAATAATAGAGAATTTTACCTAACAACAACAAAAACATCTATGGCCAATGGAAAATCAGTGAGTTGAGCAGTTTTTCCAGGTTGCTGCATGCACATTTGTGTCACGGGGATTGAGAGAAGAGGAAGCTTGGGGTCTCCTGGGTTGGGGGCAGTACACTGGGAGGCCAAGGCACCTGAAATTCAGAGAGGAGGAGATTTCACCAAGAAAGCTGTAGAGATCTGCAGAGGGTCTCACTCCTTGTGCTCACAGACTGTCAGTCAGCGTATGCAGGTAAAAAGACTGCCCAAAGACAGAGCAAACAAGGGATCACAGGGTTAGACTGTGATCACAGGAAAGACTGGGGGAAACTTCTCAGAGGCCACACTGACCAGCTATAGATCCTGGTGCCCCAGCCAGACTCACTGCGGCTCTGGTCCTCCCCTAACAGAAGTCAAACACAAAACTCCAGAGAGTCAAAGGAAAAATACTCCAGAGGATCAAGTGATTAATTAATTTCATTTCAGAAGTAAAAAAAGATTAAAAATTTATTTATTATTTATTTATTAAAAATCCAGAAATAGATGTGGAATAGGAAGATGATAGCAGCTGCCAGCACCCGTGGCCTTATGGGAAGAAGCTTTTAAAAGTGGTTTCATGGAATTGGGAAAAAAAATGGCAGAATGGAGTGGTGCATTCAGCTGAGGGAAGCAGAACTGGAGATACCATGGTGGGAGTGCCACCCACTAACTAGGCTGGTGCCACCACTGGGCCCACATGCCTGGGCCCGAGGCATGGAGCCACAGCTGCTGCTGCTCTCCTTGCAGTGGGGAGGAGAACACAGGGCCACAGTGCTGTGGTGGGCTGCAAGCACAATGGCCATGCCCAGGATACCAGCAGGGCAGCCAATGCCAAGGGCAGGGTGGTGTGCAGCAACCTGGAGCCCTGACATGTCCTGTCCCGGGCATGCTGCCCAACCCCATGATCACCCAGACTCTGAGCAACGACAAGATATTGGAGAGAAAGAATGGTTCACTTTCTGGATTAAGTCTCTTCAAAAGATTTCCATGGTCCATGTTGCTGCTGAAAGCCATGATGAGGCCACGTTGAGGTCTGTGATTCATGCTGCCACCAAAAGCCACGTGGAAATCCATGATCCGAGCTGCCACCAGCTACAATGGGCAAGGAAGCTTCTTTTGCAGTAGTATTGATGACCACAGATTCCTAACTAATAATGAGAGACATTGGAGGCGTGGTGGTGTAAATAGGAATGGCCCCCATAAACTCATGTGTTTAAATGTTTGACCCATAGAAAGTGGCACTATTAGGAGGTGGGGCCTTGCTGAAGGAAGTGTATCACTGTGGGGGCGGGCTTTGAGGTCTCATGTGCTCAAGCTACACCCAGTGTGGCACATAGTCTCCTTCTGCTGCCTGTGGATCAAAATGTAGAACTCTCAGCTTCTTCTCCAGCACCATGTCTGCCTGCACACCTTCATGTCCCACCATGATGATAATGGATTAAACCTCTGACCTATAAGCTGCCACCTCAATTAAATGTTTTCCTTTATAAGAGTTGCCATGGTCCTGGTGACTCTTCACAGAAATGGAAACCCTAACTAAGACACTTACACAACTGAATTAATGTAATAAAATTCAAATGTCTGACATCCAGTACAAAATTACCCAGAACAGAGAAAGTTGATACAGTCTATAATGAGAATAATCACTCATCTGGAATGACTGAAAAAGTAGACAGATGATGGGGTGAATGTATAGAGACAGCACAGAGAAATTGCGTCCACACCCTGCATGTTTAAGAAGCAGCAGGAAAGACTGAGAACATTAGAGGTAAGTGTGAGCAGCATCTGTGTCAGTTGGGGTTTCTATAGCTATGATAAAACATCATAATCGCCGGGCGGTGGTGGCGCACGCCTTTAGTCCCAGCACTCGGGAGGCAGAGCCAGGCGGATCTCTGTGAGTTCGAGGCCAGCCTGGGCTAACAAGTGAGTCCCAGGAAAGGCACAAAGCTACACAGAGAAACCCTGTCTCGAAAAACCAAAAAAAAAAAAATCATAATCAAGGCAACTTAGGAAAGAAAGTGTTTAATTGGCTTATGGTTTCAGAGGGCTGGAGTCCATGATGATAGAGCAAAGACAAGATTGCAGGGACAGCTGAAAGCTCACATCTTGATCCACACACAGGAAGCAGAGAGAGAACATTGGTAATGGCTTGAACCTTTTGAAACCTCAAAGCCCAACCCTAGTGACACACCTCCTCCAATAAGGACACACCTCCTAATCCTTCCCAAACAGTTCCACCAACTGGGGACCAAGCATTCAAACATATAAGCCTATGGAGGCCATTCTCATTCAAACTACCACAGCATCCAAGACCTACATGTTTGGAGGTGAAAACTACAGAGTGTTAGATGGAAAATTCACTAAGATGAAGGATAGATGACATCACAGGAGAAAAAAAATTATGCTATGTTTGGTGGATATCCCTGAGAGGCCTGCTCTTTTCTGAAGGAAAATGGAGGAGGAGTGGATCTGGGGGAGAAGGAATGAGGGGGTGACTGGGAGGAGTGGTGGGAGGGGAAACTGTAGTCGGGATGCATTGAAAACAGTAGATAAGTAGGTAGGTAGAAAGATAGATGATAGATAGATAGATAGATGATAGATAGATAGATAGATAGATAGATAGATAGATAGATAGATAGATAGATAGGCTTGGTGGCCTGGTGACTAAAAAAATGAAAAACCTTAACAATGAGTAGAGCACCAGTAAACTGTGGAACAATGTTAAGTGGCTTAACATGGGTCTAATATGTCTTCAAAGAGAAAAAGTACTTGAGAAAATGATACCCAAAAATATGATTGAAATTATAGCCTCATGGATCCCAATAAAACTCAATGGGAAATTCACATGATTGTTTTGGCTATCCTGTTTTTTTGTGTTTCCATATAAAGTTTAAGATTATGCAATTACATTGGAATTTTGATGGAGCTATTATTAAACTTGTAATCTGCTTTTGGTAAGATGGCCATTTTCATAGTTCTAATCCTACCTCTCCATAAACATGGGAGGTATTTTCATCTTCTGGTGTCTTCTTCAATTTCTTTCTTCAGTGTCTTAGAGTTTTCATTGTATAAGTCTTTCATTTCTTTGGTTATATTTGTGTGTAACGTGCTCCAGTGGATGGCCACACACCTAAGAGAACATAGGCAGCAGTAATGGGACTCAGTGGGCTTTTAAAAAATGACACAAAGTTTGGTGAGTAGGAAATGGGGGGATAGGTCTGGGAGGAGATGGAGGAGGGATTATTAAGATCAAAATACAATGTATGAAATTCTCAAAGAATTAATAAAAACATAAGAAAGAAAAAATACACATGGAGAAAAGCATGAAAAGATCTACCACAGGCAAACTGCTTAAAGCCTGTGATCTTCTTAAAATAACTGAGAGGGGGAGAGAGAGAGAGAAGGAGAGAGATTGATTACTTTCAGAAGACAAAAGGCAAGTGACAAGTGGTTTTTCCTCCATAACAGAAGACCATTATGCAGTGTTTCTAAGGTTCTGAACAGTATGGGGGGAAGAAACAATGTTGAACAAGAATCTTTTAAAATGGAAGTGCATGGATATGAGGCTGTGTGTGTACATATGTGTGTGTGTGAACACATGTGGAGGACAGACAACTTCAGGCGTCACCCTTAGGAACACTATCTGCTTCCTTTGAGACGGGGCCTCTCACTGGCCAGGAACCCACCATTTAGGCTAGGCTGGATGGCTAGCAAGGGATATTCTGTTCTCCACCTCTCCAGTACTAGGATTATAAGCATGGGCCATCACATCCACCATTTTTACATGGGATCTATGGATTGAACTCCTAATTGTAAGGCAAGAGCTTTATTAAATAAGTAGACTTCTCTTCTCAAAGCTTTCACACTAGAGTCTTATATTTCTATGGAATATAGTTCAAAACTGAAGCAAATAGTAAATTTTGAAGACATTCAAAAGCTGAAAGACATTGGCATAAACATGATGTGTTGGTTTGAACAAGAATAAGCCCCATGGGATCATGCATTTAAATGCCTGGTCCTCAGTTGGTGGAACTGTTTGGGAAAGATTAGGAGGTGTGGCCTTGAGGGAGCAGGTATGGCCTTGTTGGAGATGGTATGTCACTGGGTCTATTAGTCAGGGTTCTCTACAGGAATACACACACACACACACACACACACACACACACACACACACACACACACACACGGAAAGGGGATTTATTAAAGTAGTTTACAGTCTATGGTCCTGCCAGACCAACAACGACTGTCTACCAATAGAAGGTCCAAGAATCCTATAGCTGTTCAATCCAGGAGAATGGGTGTCTCAGGCAGTCTTCAGTACATGCCAGAATCCTGAAAATGTAGGGTTTAATGTCAGTAAAGGAATGGACTTGCTAGGCAGAGGAAGAGCAAGCAGGCAAACAGAAAGAATTTTCTTCTTCCATGTCCTTTACATAGGCTGCCAGCAGAAGGTGTGGCCCAAATTAAAGGTGGATCTTCCCATCTCAAAAGATCCAGATTAAAAGCAGGTCTTCCCACTTCAAGTAATTTAACTAAGAAAACATCCTTCACTGGTATACCCAGACACTTGGGTTTTAGGTAACTCCAGATGTAGTCAAATTGACAACCAAGAATAGCCACCACACTGGAGGTGAACTTGGAAGTTTCAAAAGTCCATGCCAAGCCCAGGGTCTTATTCTGTTTTCTACCTGCATTCTTCACGCTCCCCGCCATGATGATAATGAATTAAGCCTCTCCAGTGTATGCCTGTCTGCTTCCCACCATGATGGTCATGGACTCATCCACTGAAACTGTAAGAAAGCCTCCAATCAGATGTTTTCTTCTATAAATTTTTGGTCATGGTGTCTCCTCACAGTAATAGAACAGTAACTCAGACATATACCTTGACGGTAACTAAGATACATACTTTGCTCCAATTATCTGAAAGCCAAAACCACATAACTGAAAAAAAAATAAAGCACTATGAATCAGGAAAATTAGCGTTTGTAACAAGTGAAAATGAAAATATATAAAAAATTGAGTGCTCTGATGAAAAGCAGTCTTTAGTTAAAAAGATTCATAGCACTAAAATACTTAAATTAGAAAAGAAAAAAGGTCTCCTGTTAATTACTCCTGCTCTTGCCTGAAGAACTAGATAAAGATGAATAAGTTAAATACAAAGAAAAGGAAAAAACATTAAAGCTAAGAAAATCACTGAGATGGAGCAGGAACAAGCAATGATAGTAAAAGCTGATGTTGATTTTTCATTGTTTTGAAAATTTATTTTATGTCTATGGGTCTTTTGCCAGCATGTATGTATGTCTGTACACCATTTGCATTCCTAGTGCCCACAGAGGCCAGGAGAGGGTATCAGATCTCCTGGAACCGGAGTTATAGACAGCTATGAGCTGCTATGTGGGTGCTGGGAATCAAACCTGGGTCCTCTGGAAGAGCAGCTGGTGCTCTGAACCACTGAGCCATCTCTCCAGCACCTGGTGTTTTTATTTTGAGGAGACAGATAATATTGACAACCCCCTAGCTGGACAGATAAGGAATAAAGGTAGAAGATGCTAACTCCCAGTCTCAGGAATATGAAGGGTGACACCACTGTAGAGTCTACAGATACAAACAGGAGAATGTTAAGAGCAACCTTAATCTCATAAATTAAGGCTTAGGTAAAGTGGACAGACTCGCTGAAAGACACTCAGTACTGAAGTTTATTTGGAAACATTAGATCACCTGAGTAGTCACAAATACTTTCTGTTTTGTTCTTTCTTTGTTTTGAGACAGTCCCTCTATGCATCCCTGGCTGGCCTGGAACTCACCGTGCAGACCCTGTTGACCTCCAGCTCACAGAGATCCACCTGCCTCTACCTCTTGAGTCCTGGAACTAATGGCCTGTGCCACCACACCCAGCATAAATTTTTAAAATTTGAATGCATAGTTAAAACACTTCCACAGCCTGAACTCTAGACCTGTATGGTTAGCTCGTGAACTCCACAAATCAAATAAGAAAGAAATAAACACTGCAAAGTATGCATAAGCTCTCCTAGAAAACTTAAGAACACATAGTTCTCAATTCAGTCTGTCAGCCTAGCACTGGTCTAATACAAAACCAAGAAGCTACATTATAGATAAAGAGAGTTACAGGTTCATATCCCTTGTAAACACACTGAGAAACTCTTAGCAGAATTTTCACAAATGGGATCATAGTGTATAAGTAGAAGTTAGTCCACCATGACTAAGCAGTAGACAAAGAGAAACTATGTTGGGAGACAAACAAGTGTGCCAGAATAGATGGAAGTGGGCTTCAGAGAGGTGTGATTCGAGGCTCCAGCCTCTGGGTGACCTCAGACGGGTGGGGAGCAGGAGGAGGAAAAGGGAAGAGGAAACGGAAAAAGAGGATGAAGAGGAGGGGAAAGGAGAGGAGGGGAGGAGAGGTCAGAACGGGGAGGGAAAATAAGAGAGAAGGGAGAAGGAGGAGGAAAGGGAGGGGAGAGGAGAGTTTTCTCCATTTCCTAAACACACTATGTTCAGGGTGTTAATCTCATCTCGGTTCATAGCTTATGATTTTCACTGAGTCTTAGGAATCCTTACCAGATAATTAGCCAAGACCAGCCAGTTAGATGGTACTGCAGCTCACTGTTGGCCCATGCCCCTCATCCACAAGGCAATCATTATTGTGGCAATCATTATTCTGCAACAGTTAATGAGGCCAGCCAACTGCTATTCTCTCTTGAAATTACAGTAGGACTCAAGGGGGCATTCGGGAGTCTTCAAACTGGGTCAGAGGAGGGATGTCTATCTGTCCAGCCTTTTGAACACTTGGTTCCCATGGCCATCCTTGCAGACATTCTGAAGTCTCAAAGGGAAGAAATTTCAGTCCCTGATGGAAACTTCCAAAGGATGCCCAGCTCTCCAGTTCCAGGAGCCAAGCCTGAAATGTCTTAGGGGCATTAGACTTCCTGGCTGCATCTTTCATCCAACCCAGAGGCCCTGTGCTGTGTTTGCTGGCATGGGCAAGTAATCCCCAGGGCTTCTCAGGGGCTGGAACTTCACTCTCCAATCTCATCTGACAAAAGAGCACCCCTGGGTCTGCCCACTGGAGCCCTGCCCTGCACACTTAGGAGAACAGTGGACCTCTCCTGTAGAGCGTCAGTGCGAGCAGAGCAGGATGGACGGCTTCCTCTTGTGACCCACAGAACCCAGAGAGAAGAGGCAGCTGCTGTCACAGGGACGAAGGAAGCTGCTCAGACAGAGCAGGCTGGTCACTGAAGGTGACTGAAGGCAAGGGCGGGGGGTTGCGAGGGAGGCAGTGCTGGGCGAAGATCCTTTCCTCTCTACCAGAAACTCAGAGCCTGGGAAGGATCAGGGGACACTGGCAGGTGGGGGGTGGAGAGCGAATGTGAGCAGGGTGCTTTCCTGGCAAGAGGGCTTGAGGTTATTGCCCGTTCATCACCTTTGCAAGAGGCAGGAAAGCACAGTGGTTAAGCCACTTATGCTGTTCAAGACTCAGGGGTTAGTCCCAGTCCTGGCACTTTGTAGAAGGCAGAGCAGAACTCAGTTAACTAAGAGAATCCTAATGCCGAGATAGGTCTGTCTGATTCACTACCATTGCCCGGGAGAGGACTAACTCCTACATATCTTTCCCTAAGTGGACTCAGTCTTGAACCCACGATCTCTCCAAGCCCTTAACAGGTGCCTCATTTTTGCTAGATGCTGTGGAACAATCTAAAAGAGACATAGTACATAGTGTCACCCCACAGCCTGGTTGGAAAGACAGTACACACATGAAATAAAGAAGGCTGGACCAGTCAGGTAAGGTTCAGGAGACCCCAAGGAGACTATGCAGGGCACAAGATCTGGGGAAACACAAAGAACCAGGGAAAGTGCCAGCAGAGGCACCGTGGGAAAGGGTGAAGAGAAAAAGAACTAAGACAGCCAGCTATCAAAAGTCCCAAATCTCTAGCTGTCCAGACAGGATCCCAGTGCTGGTCATCTTGTTAACATCCTGACTCAGGGGTCTCCCTGGACTGCTGGAGAGTCGTACCAACTTAAGAACCACTCAGAGCCACTGAACAAGGTCCTGAGCTCCATCAGAGAGACACAAGAAAGGGTATGCTAAGTGACAGTGCATCTGCTGGGGTGTGGAAGAGGCCAGTGGGAGGTGTCTGAGATGGTTCAGGTCTGGAGTGTGGCTCAGCTGGAAAGGGGATTCAGGCATCTTCACATTCCCTGCCCTACTGTGGATGTCAAGGTGGTCATTTGCTCTGATTAAACCAATTCTTGTTTCCTGAAAGTCTCCCCTCTCACGGCCCAAGGCTTTGAGCTAGGCTAGGCCACCTCTTACCTTCACACACTTTCCCTACCTGGGACATTTTTCTCCTTTATCCAACTCCTCACACTCCTTGAAGCTCAGAACACGTGTCTCACGTATCTTCTTTTGCATGTTTAGTCATCTACGCCTGTCTGCTCCACCTCCACCATCATCCCGTGTCCACCAGTCCTCACCATTGTGTATGCAGATCTGCCCTTCCAAGACTTAGATATGCAGGCATGCCTCTGTAGCTCCTCTCCCTGCTCCTCCATCTACCCAACATCATGTTATCTAAGCTGTCATGATTTATTGATGACCTTCTGTAAATCCGATATATGTCATGGAGTTTCCACTATGGAAGAGATAATACCATTTAATAGATGAAAAGCAAAGGATCTGAGTAGCTCGGTGAGTCAGAAGGTGATAAAGAGGCTGTCAGGTCTGCAGAAGTCTTGCTGGTACAGTGGCTAGCATGGCTGCCTTCCCAGAGGCTACCAGATTCAAGTGTGTTGACCCTAAGTCCACATGCTAGGTACCCACCAGTGCTCTGGGCTCACTTCTCAAACTCCTAGAACAAATCCCTGCCCACACAACCCTGCCCATCTCAGCCCTTCCCTGGTGCTCAGGGCACTGGTATGTTTCCAGGTCTCTAGCTTGATATCAAAGACAACCAAGCTGAAGGAAGCATCATATTTAATACCTTCAGTTTCAATAGTGGTTCTGTGAAGCTCAGAGATGGGTGTGGAGTCACCCAAGATCACACAGCACAGGGGGGCAAAGCCAGGAGTAGCCACCTCACTTCTGATTTCTGAGCGTGTTTCTCTTATACTAACTCCTTTTATTTGTCTCACTTTATATTCTACAAAATGTCTCAACACCATATCCCGCATGCAACTCGCTATAAATCTGTGCTGCAAATGCTTCATCTCCGATTACCAGTTGTGGAGACTGAGACCAACGGAGGGATTGGCCCAAGGTCACATTGCTGGGTAAGTGACTACCACTGGGCCACTCAGGAGAATCTGATTAAATGCTTGGTCATGGGAAGGCAACAGAAAACCTCACATATCCAAGTTAGGAAACAAAGCCTGGATGGGCCTCAGGGAAGCTGGGAGCAGCAAGACAGAACCCAGGATCACTGCCTCAGATGCACAGGCTGTGAGGTCCCTGTCCTGTGCTAGTCAAATATGTCTTGTCTTTTCCATTTTAAGCCATAATATTTATTAGGCAAATACAATGTTGTCATACCAAGATCGTAATATAATGGCTTCAGTTAAAAGCATTTATTTTATTTATTTTATTTTTTGAGACAGGCTCTCATGCAGCCCAGGCTAGCCTTCAATTCACTATGTAGCTGAGGATGACCTTGAACTTCTGGTGCTTCTGTCTCCATCTCCTGATTCTGGGATTACAGGTATGTGCCACCATGCCAGGTTTATGGGTGCTATTGCGCCTAGTGCATGTTAGAGAAGCACTCCCCAACTGAACTACATACCCAGCCCCAAGTATATTTCTAATATGCTATAAAACATTTACATCATCAAACACAATTGTAGTGATTTTGTCTTGAGTTAATTTGCCTAATATTTTTAATCTATTGATAGGATCATCTATAACCTAGTCAATAAATATATGAGTTTCTAAATTAATATATTTTACCTGGATTTGGCTATAACTTAAAGCCAGTAGCAAACTTTCATTTGTTAACCTGTCTGTTTTTATCAGCTTTTTAAGATCTCCACTTGTCTCCTCCACAGCTTCAGTTCTGCTGTGACCTCAGTGGCTACTGCAGAGCTTTGGCTTGGTAGTACCCCAGGCACCCATAGCCTGCTGACCCAGACAGTCAGACATAATTTTAACCTTCTGCTAGCAGAAGGATCTGCCTACCCACTGGGACAAGTGTGCATCCCTGGTAGACTGAATTGGCAGTGGTCATGGTTCAACTGAGCTCCCTACTGCAAAAATAGCCACTTAGCTCCTTGTCTTCCGTGGATGAAGGTGGCTCCCAGGGGCGATCCGGTGAGCAGTCAGATCTCTCAAGTCCTTGCCTGGTGTCACAGCAGCCCTAGCTTTGATACTCCTTCCATCCAACTCAGCACAGGTTTGACTGCATCACTGGAAGCAACTTGTGTGTGCTGTTGTGTGTGTGGCTCTGCTTCGGTCTTCCTTCCCTCAGGCCACAGGTAGAAGAGCAAAGTGCTCGTCTCTCTGTAACAGCCAGATCACCATGCAGACCCTTAGGAAGGAAAACTACAGCTCAGTATCCGAGTTTATCCTCCTTGGTTTCTCCAGTGAGTCACAGATCAGAGTGGCCCTGTTCATCTTCTTTCTTCTGCTCTACATGATCACCCTCCTGGGCAATGGCCTCATTGTCACTCTGATCTACCTAGACTCTCGCCTCCACACTCCTATGTACTTCTTTCTCAGTATCCTCTCTTTGGTAGACATGAGTTATGTCACTACCACTGTGCCCCAGATGCTGGTTAATATGGTGTGTCCAAGGAGGACCATCTCCTGGGGTGCTTGCGTAGCCCAGATGTTCATCTTCCTGGTCCTGGGTATCGCTGAGTGTGTTCTCTATGCCATTATGGCCTACGACAGGTATGTGGCCATCTGCTTTCCCCTTCACTACTCTCTACTCATGAGCCGCCTCGTTTGTATCAAGATGATCACAATCTGTTGGTCCATTAGCATCACTGGTGCTCTGGTCTACACTGTCTTCACCATGCGTCTGCCCTACTGTGGCCCCTACAAGATCAACCACTTCTTCTGTGAGGTCCCTGCTGTCCTGAAGTTGGCCTGTGCAGACACATCCTTCAATGACCAGTTGGACTTCATCCTGGGCTTCATCTTACTTCTGGTCCCTCTCTCTCTCATCCTGGCTTCCTATGCCTGCATTTTTGCCTCCATCTTAAGAATCCGTTCATCCCAGGGGAGGCTCAAGTCCTTCTCTACGTGTGCATCCCACATCACTGTGGTCACCATGTTCTATGGGCCAGCCATGATGATGTACATGAGGCCTGGCTCCTGGTATGACCCAGAGCGGGACAAGAAGCTGGCTCTATTCTACAATGTTGTCTCTGCCTTCCTCAACCCCATCATCTACAGCCTCCGGAACAAGGATGTAAAGGGGGCTTTTCTGAAAGTGCTAGGAGACAGAGGGACAGTCCAGTGACCCAGGACAGGAAGACTAGATGGAGCTCCTTTGGCATACTAAAGAAATTGTTTCTGAACCACACGAGTTTCCAACCAGCCAGGAGAGGTTGTGGCCACTCCTAAACAGAAAGTCCCACCATTGTTTGTTAAGTTTTCAGCTTCCTCCAAGGACTCAGTTAAGTACTGGAGGCAAAACTGGTTGTTTTTGAAAGGCTGTCCTTGGAGTTCATGGACATTGCTTTATTTTTTCCTGGGCTCTCTCCTAACTTCTAGAAGTCCATGTCAGTTCAGCATGAGCACAGCCAAGTGTTTAACAGAACACAGGCTTTTCTACAGTATGAAGGAACTTGGATTTGAAAATGACATGAGGTAGATTATGAAGGCACACAGCCCTGGGCTGCTGTTTGATGAACTCTTTGCCCCTAATATTTGGCACTGCTTTTGGTACTAGATGTCACAAAGTCAAAGCTAGTGTGGTTTTAGATCCATCTGTAAAACTGGGGCGACAAAATGATCTAATCTGAGCTCAGTTTGTGAAAATTACTTTTACTTGGGTGGGTTTAGTTTTGAGATTTATTTTTATTATTTTTAAATTTGTCTCTGTGTGTGTGTGTGTGTGTAGGTATGCCATATGAGTGCAGGGGTCTGTAGAGGCCAGAGATGTCAAATTCCTTTGGACTTGCATGTGGTTGTAAGCCACCTGATATGGGTGCTGGGATCCAAACTCAGGTCCTTACAAGAGCAATATGTGCTCTTAGCCCTTGAACCCTTTCTCTAGCTCTTTGGTCTATTTAAAATTTATATTTTAAATCTAACTTTTGAGAAAATAAATATATATTTAATAAAATTAAAAATATATCTGTATATCTGTGTCTATCTATCTATTTAGCTATTGACGTCTAGATGAGAGAGACAAAGGTAGACACACTAATCTTTTGTCTTGCTTTGTCCAATCTACTTTTTTTTTTCTTTAAAAAAAAATCAGACTGGGCTAGAGAGGTGGCTCGGTGGTCAAGAACATGGACTGCTCTTGCAGAAGACTTGGGTTCAGTTCCCAGCACCCACATGGTGGTTCACAATTGTCTGTAACTCCAGTTCTAGAGGATCTGAAGCCCTCGCCTAGACTCTGCAGGCCCTGCATGCATGTGGAACACAGACATACATGCAGTATGCAGACATACATGCAGGCAAAACACCCATCCACATGAAATTAAAATAAATAATTTTAAAGAAAATTAGACAATAACAAGGTTAAACTGGCTTTGAACAGATTTTCTTTAAATTATCTTTAAACCTTCTGTTAAACTTTTGCTTGGATGCTATTGAATCCAAGAGTAATGCATAGAATTATTCTTATATGTGTCAAAAACATAAATGGTAGCAGTTATTAGTATGACTGAAAAGTGCTGAAGTCAAGGTCATGTTTCTGTCACCTCATGATGACATCCAGCTCAGCTCATCAACAAGCATCCAGACAGACCAAGTCTTGTTGACCCAGTTCCCTCTTATTGCACGTTTATTTCCATTTTCACAGTTTAACCAAGTCTGCATTTATCCATCCAAGATACTCCTATCTTTCTAGATTATAAACAGAAGTAAACTCCGCAGATTTTCGAGTCAAGGAGGTTGACTAGACATTCCCATATTACTCTTCTAAGTAGTTAGAGCAAGTCACATCTAAAACCACCAGTCCTCAGTGTTCTTCAATGTAATGTTTCTGACTTATAGATGGAGAGATGTCTTATAGGTATGAGTGTTGCTTCCTGTTTAATCTGCATTTCCCTAGCTGTTTTCCCATGTGATCACTGGGAGAATTACGTAGGGTCCCAGGCTCTAGAGTCAGACTTCAGGGTTCAATCCCAGCTGCGTCCTCAGTAACTCAGCAACGATAGGCAAGTCGCCTAACTTCCCCAGGTCCCAGTTTCCTCATCCATAACGGGGAAGGAAACAGTATATGCCTCAAAAGTTTCAGAAGGGTTAGCTAAGGGGCCCGGGCAAGGCACCTACAGTGATTGACAGGTGGTAAGTGCTGTTTGCCTCTTTGGATTCCCAGTTTCTTGTACGTTTTGAGTGTAGGCTTTTTGTTTGTTTGCCTGTTTTTGTCTGTTCCACGCACTGAGAATACCTTCTGAGTCTGTTGCTTGTTTGTTTGTTTGTTTTTTTATTACAAAAGTGGTTATTTACTTCAGACTTTTGTGAAACAAGAGAAATAAAAAGAAGGGAGCCATCCATTGCTACAGACTGGAAATAAAAGAAGGGAGCCATCCATTGCTACAGACTGGACATAGTCACTTAACATTTTTCAATAACATGCATAAAATTATTAAACAAGTTCTTTCACGAATTTTAAGGTGAAATATTCACTCTGCATTCTTCTATAACTTACAACAGTCACTTGCCGATCAGTTTTTGGGCATTTATACACGATTTATTTTATTGCTGAAGAGTGTTCTTTTATAACTTTTACATTATTTATTTCATGAGAGAGAGAGACTGCTTTTTTCTCACATATTTTATCTTGTTTTCCTTTTACAGTTTCTATTTGGGGAAAATATTTTCAAGCTCCCATTCTATTTCTTTAAATATGCAGCATTCACAAATCATGTTTGATATTTCATTTTTATTTGCATGTGTGTTATGCATGCTTGTATGCATGTTCATGTGTCTGTGGGCATATGTGTGTCTTCAGGTGCACATTTGTGCTTGTGCATACGGTGGTTATAGTTTTGTGTTCTATCCCCTGTATCACACAAGGACACAAAAGCAATATTCAAGGAGCTGGGGAGAAAGCTCAGCAGTTAAGAGCACTTGCTGCTGTTCCAGGGGACCTGAGTGTGGTTCCTAGCACCCATGTCAGGAGCTCACAAAAGCCTGTAACTCCAGCTCCAGGGGATCAGACACCTTCTTCTGACCTCTGTAGGCACTGCATTCACATGTGGTACACACTCACACATACACGTACACATACACATACACATAAATATTTTTTAGAGAATATTCAAGTTTTCCAGAATTAGTAAATATTTCCAAGGCAAAGTACCCATCTACCTCAGCTGGCCCCTCTCATGCCATTGGAGTTTAACCTCCGGACTCTTGGTCTCTTTTACAGCTCTTAAGCGTATTCGAGGTTTTAAAAATAGTTTATCTAGGATCAATGAGATTGTTCAACAGGGAAAAGCACTTCACACACAAGCCTGACAGCTGGGGTCCCACCTCCAAACCCATGTATAAGGTAGAAAGAGGGGACCAACTCTATAAATGTTGTCCTCAGATCTCTACACATGTGCTGTGACATAGACATCTACATATCTACACACACACACACACACACACACACACACACACACACACACACACACACACACTCACTAATAAATAAATAAAGTTTAGCTTTAAAAAATCACAGTTATGTTGGGAGGGCAGAGGGGAGAATCCTAAAAGAGACGACTGGAAGCGGCGGAGGGCATCTGGGGGTCAGATAAAAACCTGGTTCAAGGAAATCTCCCAGCAATCTACAAGGATGACCCCAACTAAGACTCCCAGCAATAGTGGATAAGTAGCCTGAACTGGCCATCTCCTGTGATCAGATTTAGTGCCTGGCCCAGTTGTCATTAGAGAAGCTTCATCCAGCAGCTGATGGAAACGGATGCAGACCCACAGCCAAACATTAGGTGGAGTTTGGGAAATCCTGAAGAAGAGGGGGGAAATGGATTGTAGGAGCCAGAGGGGTCAAAGACACCACAAGAAAATTCACATAATCAACTAACGTGGGCTCATAGGGGCTCACAGGGACTGAACTGACAACCAGGGAACCTGCATGGGACTGACCTAGGCACTCTGCATATATGTTACAGTTGTAGCTTGGTCCTCTTATGGGACTCCTAACAGTGGGAGCAGGGACTGTCTTCGACTCTTCCTGGCTTTTGAGACCCTACTCCTCATCCTGGGTCTCCTTGCCCAGCCTTAATACACGGGGAGGTGCTTAGTCTTACTGCAAACTTGATACACCATGTTTTGTTGATACTCCTGGGAGATCTGCCACTTTCTGGATGGAGACAGAAGAGGAGGGGATTAGGGATGGGAGGAGGAATGGAGGAGAAGGAACTGGAAGGGGAGGATTAGGGGGCAGGCTGCATCCAGAATGTAAAACAAATAGGTGAATTTAAAAAAAAAAGAATTCTTCTCTGTTAGGCTCAGAAGAACATGTGGCCACACCAAAATCTTATTCTCTGATAATTTCATGCACGTGTATAGTGAAGGCTGGTAATTTTCACACATACCTTATCCTCTCTCATCCCCTCCCTCTCCTACTCCTGCTTTGGTGGTTTGGGGGAAGGGGTTATTGTTTGTTTGTTTTCAATCCATGAGTTTAACTAGAGTTGCTTGCATCGCGTAAGTGGGGGTATTTACTGAAATGTGGGTACCCATGGCTACACCACTCAAGAAAAGGCCAGGTCCTTAACTGCCCAGAGACCCTCAGGACTGGGTGAGACTTTATAAACTCCTCCCCCTTTCAGGATGAAATGGATGAGCAAGCTGCTCAAGTATTCCTTTAGTATTACAATTCCTCCCTCCCATTGGATTATCAACTCTCAGAGTCAAGAAATACTAGTAAATAAAAAGAAACTTCGAAATGTGTTAAAATATCAGCAAAATTTGCTTGGTTTTGATTGGCTTACATTCAGTATATGTTGTTTGTTTGTTTCTTTGTTTGTTTGTGGCAGTCTTACTCTATAACCCTGGCTGGCCTGGAATTCACAATGTAAATCAGGCTGGCCTCAAACTCGCAGAGATCTGCCTGCCTCACCTTCCAAGTGCCTGTGATTAAAGGTGTGTGCCACCACATCTAGCTATTTTATTTTATTTTTTTAAAGGAAGTTATGAGCTCCCTGGTGCAGTGTAGTAGTAAGAGAAAGAATTTCAGCTTTATTTCTAAGTGAATAGAACTACACAGTGTTCATGAACTTCATTTTTAATTAAATGTGCACTGTTCATCTTAGTCCAGTCAGTAAGTTTATAGTGTCTGTCTTGTTCAACACAGAATTCCTATAAGTCCTGTTACAGTGCCTGGCATATACAGGCTCAGAAAGGGACTGAATGAACAATAAACAAGCGCCACACAAATGACTGTGCCAGAGTTATCAAGTGATGAACTACTCTCCCATTGCTAGGTTTAAAATTCCTCTAACGTGTGGTGGCTTAAAATGACAGACATGATCTCACAGTTCTGATAGTCTGGAAGCCTGGTCCAGCTGAGGTGCAGCCTCTGACTCAGGCTCTTCCCCAAGGCTGAAGTCAAGGCAGTGTATCAAGATGCGACTGGGGAAGGGTCTGCTTCAAGCTCAGTCGGTGATGACTGGCCCACATCTAGAGCAGTGTGAGCCGAGGATCAGTCAGTGATGGCTGGCCCACGTCTAGAGCAGTGTGAGCCGGGGATCATTAGTATGTGCCTCCTTTATCTGCAGCTTGCTTTCCACAGTCCCGTGTGTGTGTGTGTGTGTGTGTGTGTGTGTGTGTGTGTGTGTGTGTGTGTGTGTGTGTGTTTAAATGGAAATTTTAAGAAATAAATGACTCAGAGGCTTTAAACTGCCAATGTTCTATGATGAACCCTGTACTGCTCTGCCTCAGGCAGGATGGGAATCATCCCTGTGTCCAGGGTGTCTGCCTGGTATGTGCTGCCCATCCATCATGTATAAGCTGTGCTACTTTGCTGTTTCAAACAGCCACTGGAAGACTATGTCTCTTGTAGACAAGGGGGAGCTGGCACATTCCAAGCTGAGTGGAGTCGTAACATGGGCACATGTTCATTGCTATCTCCTCACAATAGCCCTTTCTGCTCAGCTAAATTGCCTTCACTTTATAAAAGAGGCCGGCAGAGAGACAAACTGTCCTGCCCACTGCCACCCATTGGAAGGCAAAACCAATTCCCAAATCTTGTGTTTGCCCTTCTGCTTTCTAGATTTATCTTGTTTCTGCCAGCTTTGAACTCTCCAAATCTTCCAGTGGTTGACATTTGCCAGGATGGCTAGAAACTTGAACAGACATTGCAGATATGGAGTTGAAGTGGGTCCCATGCTGTCTTGTGAGCAGAAATCATGCTTCGTTTTTCAGGTTGTCTTTAATGAAGAACAATGGAGTTTAGTTACTCACATGGCAGATCGTATTCAACTCTTTACTTTTAGAAATCATTCACTATCTTTGCTTTTTTACACTCCATCTTTATTTTTGATGTTTCTCTGTAACCAAATTTTATGATCAGGGAAAAAAATGTCCATATGTTTATCTGTGTCTTTGGCTAGGAAATTATTCTTGGCACATAGACAGGACTTGAGAGGATACAGGCCATGGGGAGCAAGCTGTAAGGTTGAGAACAGGCTATGGACCTGAGCCAGCAGACACCACCGTAAGACGGGCCTACAAAGCTCCAGGGAGCTTCAGGGATGGAGGTTTACCCACGAGTCCCTGACCTAGCAAAATTCTATTCTAACCCTTTCCTTCCCAAGATGGTTTGCACCAGGGATAATCCCACTTGTGTTCTGTTCACATCCAGCTTCCTTCTGCCCTCCAAATGTACCCTATGTTCAGGTATATGATTCATTTGACTGAGGCTTTCAGCACAGGTGACAATGATACAAACACTGTCCTTAAATGGTCATGGGCAGGGAATACATGACCATGTTTCCTTCCTCTGGATCTTTGCACTCTGTTCCCTGTACTCAGACTGCTGCGCTTCTCTTCCTTCTGCACATAACAAATTCCCGTTCATTTTCCAAGACGCAGCTCAGGCATCACCTTTCCAATGAACTCTTTCCTCGTCTGTGGGGGAAGAATCAATGGGACTCTCTGTGTCATTACAGAAGCCCATGTGTGCCCTTAGCCAGGCCCTCTGGGCACCTGTATCCCTCTCCATTCTCCAGCCAGTCCTTACATTCACCATGAGCAGAGCTTGGGGGCCAAGTCTTGATCATCTTTGGTCTCTAATGCTGATCCACCATTGGTGCATGTAAATGCTTCTAGAGTCAACCAAGTGACCAGTGACACCACGGCACAGAGGAACATGATAAGTGGTACTGCAAGGCTCTCATGAGGAGGGGAGGTAAGCATGGAGCTGATGACAGGGAGGAGCTGCACAGGGCGTGAGCATAGACACAGGAAAGGAACGGCCACCTATTTGCACGGGAAGGCTTCCCAGACCAGGGCACAGTGGGGCTGGGTTTGGAGGTGTGCACAGATGTTTTACAGGCTGCATGCCATGGCAGGGCAGCCAGGGCTGAGGAACCAACAGGAGGGGGGCAAATACAGGTGGATCTGGCTGCCCAGAGTGGAGTGCCAATCAAAGAACTATGCAAAGTGGTGGTGCTGGAGAGCTGGACAGGAATATGCCCAGGAAGGGCTCTGGCCACCCACAGAGGAGCTGAGATTGTCTTCTGTACATGGGAACCAGTGAAGGTTTCTCATCAGGGGAGGAACAAAGGCAGGGGTGTATTAGAAAGATGGCTGAAGCCCACAGCTTTATTGTGGAATTTAGGCCCTGCTGCTGAGAAGGGAGGAGACCTAGAGTCTCCCAACTGCTTGGGGACTTAGCAGGCAGGGAAAGAGGAATCCATGCTGGCTACCTCACAGATGGCCCCTGGACCTCTGAGAGCCAATGAGTTTCTCATGCTCAGAAAGGATGGAGTCTGCCATTTCTGTTGCTATCAAGTGTGTATGGGCTTTTCCCTACCCTTTGTCCAAAGACCTCAAAGGTGAGCATTCCAAGATTCTCCCTGCTATCTCACTCTGACTCAATTGCAAGATGAAAATTCTTTTCAGTTTCCATCTTGAATCTGTGCCCAATTTTCTGACCCCACCCCACCCCTGTGCTTCTCAAAGGGAAGGGAAAAGTTGTTCACCAAGTGGCCTGAAATGTCAGGACACAAAGGGCTGAGACCTCAGAGGCCACTGGATGGTTTAAGACCCTCATGGACTCCCTGCTTTATAAGATAAAGATTAAGATGCACAGCATTCAAGGTTGCACACTAAATGCAATTACTTTCTATGTGACTATGTGAGTGTTTAGTGAACTGTAGCTGATTGCTGATAATAAAAACCACTCATATACTAGTAATGTTTGTTTTGTATGGTCCCTGTTTTTGAGCCCATAACCTTTGCTGTTGAGTCTACAATATGCCTGTAGACTAAGAGAGCTCAAGGACCCTAGACATTTTGCCTGCTATCCTAATGGGTTGAAAGAGCCCTGGGTACATCACCTGGCAGGGAGAAATTTCATGGTCTCTTGTGTCGCCAGATCTCCCAGAGTGTCTCTTGCTTTCTTTTTTCCTGGAGGAGGAGCCACTGGGTCAGCCCTGGTCCTGGAGCCTTGCCTGAGCCTAGCATCAATGTCCCCAGTATCCACCACACTGTCCCAGCTGAGTCTCAAACCATCCTAGAACCCAGAAGAAGAAGTGGCCCGGGTGTCACTGAGGGAGATTCCTCAGAGCCCAGCGCCTCTCCCTCTGGCCCAGAGATGGCTGCTGGAACTGTCCTGTCTGGATCCCTGGGGCCAAGTGGCACTCAGGAGTGGCCTCCAGAGTCTGATGGGGCACCTCCCACACCTTCTTTCCTGCAGGACTATATGCTCAGGACAGGATTGTTCCCAGTCCTCCTGGAGAATTGGCAGCTGCTCCATCTCCAGCTGTGCTGGCCAGAAGCTCCAGGTAGGAGTCCAGGGCAACCTACAGTTTCTGTTGACCGGCTGGCCATGTGTGTTTGATTCTGTCCCTTTTCCTGTCTGTGTGAGTGTGTGTGGCTGCCTGTCTCTGCCTCCTCTTCCCTCTGAGTCTGTCTACTGCCCTCCATCCCCAGGCCTGTGTCCTCCCAGCCTCCCGCTTGCTGGCTTTCACACACCGTCTACTACCCTCGACCGCTACTTCCGTTTGCTGGGCCTGTGTCTCCCATCTCTCCCTCCTGCCCCTCTAGGGTTCTCTGCTTGGGTCTTGAGTCAACTCTGTCTGCCTTTCTGTCTCTCTGAACATCTTTCCTGGATTCTCTCTGTCTCTAGCTTTGCCTGTAGGACGGTTCTCTCCTTCACCTAACTCCTAGACATCTCTCTTCTTCCAGCACCCTCTCAGATTCTCAAGGCTTTTCTCCTTTCAAGTCTACTGCTAGGGTCTGGTCCCCTGAATCCTCCTCCAGGTCTGCATCTCTGCCCAGCCCTCCCCTGTCTGTAGTCCCCTGCCTGCTCCTGTATTCTTCGTCTAGCCTTGAACTCTTTCCTCCCCTTTCCCCTCTTTCTACTTTCCTAGACATCTCTTTCTCCCCTGGTCTCCGCCTTAATTTTGTCTTAGAAATACCCATTCACAACTCTCAGCTCACTGTCCCTGTGTCTCTCTCCCTGACAACCTGTGCGGTCTGGACACCTTCACACTGCGCCTGCTCAGCATCTCGACGTTCTTTCTTCCTTCTTCATCCTCCTTTCTCTCTCCTTTTGTTTGCATGCCTTCTTTGGTCCCTCCAGCAGTCTCCTGTAAGGTCTCAATGTCCCTGTGCCTCCTTTAGTCTGTGTTCCTCTTTTTAAAAAATGCCTGTTTTTACTCTGTGTGTGTGTGTGTGTGTGTGTGTGTTTGTGTGTGTGTGTGTATGTGTGTATGTGTGTGTGTGTGTCTCTGTGTGTGTGTGTCTGTGTGTGTGTCTCTGTGTGTGTGTCTCTGTGTGTGTATGTGTGTGTGTGTGTGTGTGTCTCTGTGTGTATGTGTGTATGTGTGTGTCTGTGTGTGTGTGCCTGTGTGTGTGCGCCTGATAGAGGAAATGGCTGGTAGCAGGGAAGAGGAGAGAAAACACATTTAGAACCAGACATTATGAAAGTCAACATTCTCTCTGTAGATAAGAGACGATGACCCGCTGAGAGCGCGAGCCACAAATGGCAAAGTCAGCTGTCATCCCAGCCTGCATTGCAGGAGAGGTGCCAGAGACAAACACAGGGGTTCGAAGTAAAAACACAAACAACCCTCTGCTTTCCATTCCTTCATGACAAGGGACCAAGGCTAGTAGCCCCAAGCACCAGCCAACTCCAGCCTAGAGAGTCACCCTCCACCAAGCCCTTGCAACCACACAACTCATCTCTTTTCATTGACAGCAGCTCATCAACAAGCCTAGATGTGACAGAGTCAAAATCTGAGCCTAAGAGAGGCCAGGGCAAGCCAGCCAAAGAAAGTGAGAGCCGAAGCCAGTTCCCAGGCAAGCTCCTCACGGAGGCAAGCAGTCCGAGACCTGTCACTTGTATCCTCCCTTCCTAGGCTGGGGGATGGTCTGCTTTATGCTCACTGTACTCACTGGCTTTCTACACAGTTCCAGTCCAATCACCCCCTCCCCTGGGCTTTGGTAAAATGAGGAACTTGCATTAGCAGTTATCAAATTGAGCTTCAAGGAGTGCCTTACCTAGTAAGAGGAGACACGTGGGACCATGCTTGTCTGGAGGAGGGGAGATGGGACGCTACATAGCTCATAAGTTTGCTCCTAGAAAAAAATATTCAAAAGCTCTATAAAAATTGAGGATGAATAACTCTGAAATTGGAAGACTTTAATTAAGCCTCATAGCAAATGCCCACCCAGGCCAGTGGGCATTCCCAGTTGTGTTGTCAAGGGGCAGCCAGGCAAGAAGTGACAGTCCCCTCCTTTCCCACACCCATGTGCCTGCTTCAGCCTTAAGTGGACTCTTAAGGAGCAGTCACAGAAAGAATCTGGTAAGAGCTGGCACTTGGGTTCTTGGGGCCCCTGTCCCCATCCCAAGTCCAACCTGAGGCATGAACAGAAAGTGTTGAATGTTCGTGCAGTTCAGCAGAGGGTCACCAGAAAACTAAAGGAAGCTTCCACCAGTTTTCTCTAGTCTGATTGTCCTCAGCCATCTGATCTTCCATTCACTTACCCATCTTTCCTTCAGCTAAAATTTTCTGAAGATAGACTGGGTATGGTGGTGTACCCCTTTAATCCCAGGAGAGGCAGGCAGATCTCTGAGTTCAAAGCCATCATGGTCTACAGAGTAAGTTCTAGGACAGCCAGGACTACACAAAGAATTTGTCTCAAAAATATAAATAAGATAAAAATTTCTGAAGATTATGTAACAGTGGTCATAGCGGCACATGATCTGAGCACATTGCTAGGACAGAGACGATAAATCCATATGGTATAGGGGCTAAGCAGGCAATATCAATTCATGAACCCAGTCTATAAAAGAATAAGAACTGAGAATAGGGAAGTGCACACCCTATTCCAAAGGACAGTCAGAGATATTTACTCACATCCAGGCTATTTCTGAATATAGAAACAAGGGTTGAACAAGGCCAGGTCTAATATGTGATCCTGAAGGTCCAGTTTTGTATGCATAAGTTCAACTGTTCAGAAACATTAGCAATTAATTAAAAAGTAAAAACTAGACAATCCAGACAAAATATGTCTATAGCTTATGTACAGCCTGCAGGATCCCATTAAATGGCCTCTGCCATGCAATTTTAGCCTGAGACATGATGATTCTTTGGTCAATTCTTAAAAATAAAGTCAAGGTAGTTTCTGGAGAGACTTACTACATGTCTCTGTGATAGTTCACAAAGCAGACTGTTGGAAGGAACCTAGGGAACCAGGACATCCCATGGGTCCCGTTATAACTGGGTATGGAGGGTTGTGGAGATGGCTCAGCTGGTAACGTGCTGGCCATGCAAGTCTGAGGACCTGAGTTCAAGCTCCAGAGCTCACATTCAAGCCAGATGTGGGGCAGGGGTTAAGTGTCCTTGTTGCTTTAGCAGAGGATGCAAGTTTGATTCCAAGCACCCACATGGGAGCTCACAACTTCTTGTAACATTAGCCCCAAGGAACATGATACCTTCTTCTGGCTTCTGTGGGTACCTCCATACATGTGGCATGCACACACACACACACACACACCTTTTTTTTTTCAAGATAGGGTTTGTCTGTGTAGCTTTGGCTGTCCTAGAACTTGAACTCACAGAGATCCTCCTGCCTCTGCCTTGTGCTGGCATTAAAGGTGTGTGCCACCACCACCCAGTCACATACACCTTTTAAATCCTAATGGTGATTTTAAAAAAACAAAACACTTTAACACAAATCATGTGAAGTCTCGACCCTGATCCTAATCTTTATCCATGTGAGATTCAGTAACTTCTGTAGTCCCAAGACAAAATGGAAATTAGGGGGAGTAGCAGAGGGACATGAGGCTGTGTTGGGAGAAGTGGTCAGATCATAGGTTCAGACCAGAATGGAAAGTACACTACAGGGCTACCCTGGACTGTTCCCACCATTTGCACCAGTAAAGCCCTTAGGAAATCCTGAGCCAAATCCCAGTATCACTCAAACTACAAATGGGAATTACTTCTCAGCACCCCCCACTTGCCAATCCAAAGCCTCCTGAAACTGTCAGTGTAAATGGACAGTGGGTACAGAGATGCCCTGCACACCCCTGCGATGCTCAATGAATCACATATCTGAAACCTCTTTAAACAGGAGAGATCACAATGCAGGAAGTCAACTGGTCCACCGTGACAGAATTCATTTTATTGGGCTTCACCCCTGACCCCAGGACCAATCCTCTGCTCTTCACTTTCTTTTTAGTCTTTTACCTGTTGATCCTCGTGAGCAACAGTCTCCTCATTACACTCATCCACCAGGACTCACGTCTTCACACACCCATGTACTTTTTCATCGGTGTCCTCTCCACGCTGGATGTGTGCTATACCACCACCACTGTGCCCCAGATGCTGGTTCATATTCTCAGCAAGAAGAGGGCCATCTCCTTTACAAGATGTGTGGCCCAGATGTACATCTTTCTCCTTTTTGGCGTCACTGAGTCCTGGCTTTTCTCCATCATGTCTGTGGACAGGTATGTGGCCATCTGCCACCCGCTCAGGTACAAGGTCATCATGAGCCGTGGAATGTGTCTCCTAATGGTGGGTATCTGTGCCACTTATGGTGTGGTGGGTGGCCTGTGCTATACTTTCTTTGCTATGCGACTGCCCTATTGTGGTCCTAATGAAATTGATCACTATTTCTGTGAGGTCCCTGCTGTTTTGAAGTTAGCCTGTGCCGACACATCCCTCAATGACTTGGTGGATTTCATCACAGGCTTCAATGTCATTGTGGTCCCACTCTCCCTCATTGGCATCGTCTATGCCAACATCTTCACCACCATCATGAAGATCCGCTCAACCCAGGGGAGGATCAAGGCCTTTTCCACCTGTGCCTCCCACATCACTGTGGTCACCATGTTCGCCATCCCGTGTATCATCATGTACATGAGTCCTGGCTCTGGCTCCTTATCAAACAGTGGCAAGAAAATGGCCCTCTTCTATAACATCGCCACAGCCTTCCTCAACCCTGTCATCTATAGTCTGAGGAACAAGGATGTGAAAAGGGCTTTCCTCAAAGTGGTGGGATGGAGTGGGGCTCCAGAGTGACACTTTAAAGCTGAGTGCCTGGGGAGCTGAACCAAGTAGGACTTACAGTCACCACCTTCCCAGGAACTCTTCCATGAGATAAGCAGGATCCCGACTCCATAAAGATACAGCTCTTCACCCTTGCCCAGGTCGGGGAGGAACAGGAGGCTCAGACATCTACAGTGAGTGATGCTCCCTGAGACAGACGATTATGAAGGAAGGGCCCACCGGTCAAGAACCTGGGCTTTACTGCCAGACAGAACAGGGCTAGAAGAATTAATGTTGAGTTTGAATGTGAACCGTCCCTCATAGGCTCATGTATTTTAAACACTTTGTCCCCAGCTGGTGACAATGTTTGGGAAGGTTGTGGAACCTTTAGGAGATGAAGCCTGGCTAGAGAAAGTGGGCCATTGGGTTTTATGACATGGTCTCACATCCTGTACCACCAAGATGTCGGGAGATGTGGAGTCCCAGCTGCACACTGTCGCTTTCATGGAGCCACCTGCCACATGCCTTCCCCACCACGATGGACTATGTCCCTTCAAAATGTAAGCCCCAGCAAACTCTTCCTCCCTTAAGCTGCCTCTTGTCAAATATCTGGTCACAGTAACAAGGAAAGTGACTAATAAAGTTTTATCAGTTACTAAGTATGTGAATTTTACAAGTCACTTAACTACTAAGAAATTAGAGTTTTCTAATTCTTTCTCACAGGGAGATTGCAATGATTACATGAGGTAATATATGAAAATACCTGCTACGGAGGATGGCATATTTTAGCTTCTTTCAGCAAGTGTTTATTATTTTTCAAACACTTCTTTTTAAATTCTTATTTTATTTTTACTTTATTTGTGTTGGGGTGTTTTGCCTGCATTTAGGTCTATGCACCACATGCATGCAGCTCCCATGGAGGCCAGAAGAGAGCATCAGATTCTTCTGGCACCGGAATCACAGATGTTTGGGAACCACTATGTGGGTGCTGGGAATCAAACCCAAGTCCTCTGCAAGAGCAGCCAGTGTTCTTAACCACTGAGCCATCTCTCAAGCCCTTTATATTCAATGTTTTATATTCATTATTGAGCAATGAACCACCATGCATCAATCAGCTGTGATCCTCTTGGGTTCTGAAAGTGGCTGGAGAGAGTAAAGGAAAAGAGAGGGAAATGGAAGATGCAGAAACTCAAAGAGACTCTGCTGATAAGCAAAGCTGCATCTGCCCCTAGAGCATCTCCAGATGTTATGGAGGAAGGGCCACTGCTAAACGTCTCTGTGCTTTTGAAAAGAATGTCTGCTTCTGTTTTTTCTCATTGCTCCTTGTTTAAATAAAGTCCATTCTGGCAACTTTCAGCCTGTCTTGATGCTATCAAAAAAAAAAAAAAAAAGACTCTGTCCACACAAGGGTCAGAGAAGTGAGGGAAAGCAGAAGTAGAGAGTGGGTATAGCGTTACCCTGGGTCTGGGGAGAGAAAGGGACCCAATGGGGAGTTTGAAATTGGCTATTTCATGAATGGAGGGGCCTTCCTTCCCACACTCTCCTCATTCCACTCAGGGTCTTTATAAGCGCAAATCATCTCTGTGGGTTTCACTGCTCTTCAGCTGCACTGCTAGGCACCACCACATTTATTGGCTTTTGCCTTTACTTGATGCTGCAGGAACTACTGCACCCACCAAAGAGGAGGCTCTCCTTCTGTGGGAGGCCTAGCGGCGTGCCATAAGTTAATATGAACTCTTGAGTCCTTCCCCAGGTCCTTGCTTCCTATCAAACCCCTTGCAGGAGAATGAAGAAGATAGGAAGGAAGAGGGAGGAAGAGAGGAAGGAAGGGGAGGAGGGAGGGAGGAAGGGGTCAACTTTGTTGGTCTGGAATGTTTAACATCAAGACTGATGGCATAGCCTTGCCCCTTCATGAGAATCCAGGGCCCTTGCCAAGGGAGCATGTTCCCAGTGTTCTCAAATGTATTACCTTATCTACCAACCAGAGCCAGACTGCTGCATAAATAATGAATCAAAATGAGATATAAGTAATGAACAGGGCCTATAGCTGCAGCATACGGTTACATGGTGTTATTGACAAAGAAGGGGCTTTTATAAATTATTCAGAAAATATGGGGCCAGTGAGACGGCTCAGCAGGTAAAGGCACATGCCACCAGGCCTCACGTGTGCTGTGGTGTGTGTGTGTGTGTGTGTGTGTGTGTGTGTGTGTGTGTGTGTGTGTGTGTGTAAAATAAGTGAAATAATATAAATTAAAAAAAGAAAATGAACACCAGAAAATTGGCAACAGATGTTATTTATTGATTGATATTTCTAAGGAAGGGTCTCGTTCTTTTTAAAAATTTGTTTTTATTTAAATTTTTTACGTGTATGAGTGTCTCACTCACAAGTATGTCTGTGCATCACTTTTGTGTCTAGTGCCCTTAGGGGGCCAAAAGAGGGCATGGGATCCCCTGGAACTGAGGTTACAGGTGGTTGTGAGCCACCATGCGGGCACTGGGAACCAACCAGGTCCTTTGCAAGAGCAGTCAGTGCTCTTAACCACTGAGCCATCTCTCCAGCCCCAGGTCTCACTCTTTAGAATGCAATAAAACATGGGCTTTCATAAAGGGCTTTTCATAAACTGGTCTTTTGTAAGATGACTGTATCATCATGTATCAGGAACACTAAAGATGTCCGTACATGACCTTTAACCCTGTCATTCTGTTCTTAGGACACCTTAGGAAGTTGATATCAGAAGCACAGGAAAGACAACAGCAACATTTCCACTATAGGAATCACGACTGGAAAAACTTGGAAGGATTTGGAAACAGCTCTATAATATGGAGCCACAGAAACACTCTGTGGTATGAGTTGTCAAATGTCACTTTGTTGTTATTCTGTAATGAAAACACTCACAGCATGATGTTAAGTGAACAAAAAGCAAGAAACAGCTAGTGGACAGGTTGGGATCACACCATTAACAGCTACTGATACAGTTTCAAGACTGAAATTATATGGTAAAAATTATAAACAACTGGAGAGGACCACTAAGTCAGCCCCTCTTCATCAGGATGCCTCTGTTTCCTACGAATATCAGTTAACATCGTGCAAGATGCTAATGATACAGGAGATGGGGGAATAGATATTTTAAAAAGCCTCTCACTTTCTATGCAGTTGTTTTAAACCTAAAACTTCTCTAACTCTAATAATTAATTAATTTGAAGGGTTAAATGGAAGCACTAGACATAAAAGGCAAGATGCACAGCAATAGTGGAGAGGGTACCTGACCAGGCCTTCCCCTGTAATCAGGTTGGTGAATACCCTAACTGTCATCATAGAGACTTCATCTAATAACTGATGGAAGCAGATGCAGAGACCCACAGCCAAGCACCAGGCCAAGCTCCAGGAGTGCAGTCAAAGAGAGGGAAGAGGGATTCTATGAGCAAGGGGGGAGGTCAAGATCATGATGGGGAAACACACAGAGACAGATGACCTGAACTTGTGGGAGCACACGTGTAGCTACAAGTTTTCCTGTGTCCCACCGGGGGTCCCACAGCTGTCTGGTCCCAAGTAAGCATACAGAAGCTTATATACAAATTGTATGGCCTATGGCTCAGACTTCTTGTTAGCTAACTCTTTCATCTTAAATTAACCCAAATTTATTAATCTATGTGTTGCCACGTGGCCGTGGCATTACTGGTCTGCTGGCATCTTGTTGCTCCTTGGACAGCTGGCATCTCTCCTTACTCTACCCTTCTTCATCTCCATCGTCAGTTTGAATGTACCACCTAGCCTTATTCTGCTTCATCATTGGCCAAACAGCTTTATTTATTAACCAATGAGAACAGCACACATTCACAGCGTACAGAAAGACATCCCACAGTACACATGACACTAGACTGACAGCTGGGGAGCCTGCATGGGACCGAACTAGGATCTCTGCATGTGGGCGACAGTTTTGTTGCCTGGTCTGTTTGTGGAACCCCTAGCAGAGGGACCAGGATCTATCCCTCATGTCATGTGTACTGTTAGCTGAGGGTTTTGTAGTTGTTCTTTACCAGGATGAACAACTGTAAAGACCTCAGCTAACATTACACATAATATTAGCTTGTTGAGTTTGGATTTGTTTCAGCCATGAATAGATGTTGAATTTTGTCAAATCCCATTCATTCTCTCTCTCTCTCTCTCTCTCTCTCTCTCTCTCTCTCTCTCTCTCTCTCTCTCTCTCTCTCCTCTCTTCTCTCCTTTCCTCCTCTCTCCCCCTCTCTCTCCCTCCCTCTCTCCTTCCCTCCCCCGCATCTATCTATATCTATCATTTGCCTGCCTATCTTTCTCTCTCAAACACACAAAAAAATTTAAAATATATATTTAATAATTATATTCCAGTTAGCAAAGAGAACTTTGAACAAATACGTAGGAAATAAATAAGCACATAAAACAAATTCACCACCACAAGCTGTCAGTCAAATACAAATGCATACAATGAGTGCTTAGCCTGTTAAACTGATTAAAACAAGAAAATACCAACTACACTTACCTCTAGAGGATGCACAGAGCAATGGGAGTTCATATGTTGCCAAACTGAATGTCTCTTCAAAAAACATATTGTCACATTCTGTGTGAAAACAACTTCATCTAGTAGAACTCACACACTGTAAAGTTCATACATTATATTATATAGCTCAGTATTTTACTACATTCACAGTTTCATAGCCATTAGCATAATATAATTTTAGAGCATTTTCATTGTCTCAAAAGAAACTCAATATGCATAAGTAATTGCTCTTCCTTTCCCATCATACCCCTAGGACCAACAACTCTATGGATCTACCTTCTCTTTCTAAGAATTCACCTGTTTTGGATTATTTTATATAAATGGGATGATATGCTACATGAAGCTTTGCAACTGGCTTCTTTGATTGATTTCAAAAATTCAACATTGTAGCACATATATATAGTACATATTGTATATTTTATATACGTATATATAATATATAATGTATTTGTTCCCTTTTAGTGAAAAATATATTCCATGTGTGCACATACCATATTTTATTTACCCGTTTAGTTAACAAGCTTTGAGTTAATTATCTTGCTTTCTAATTGTCATGAATAAAGTCGCTATGACCACAAATGTACACATTTTTTAAAAATATTTTATGTGTATTGGTGTTTGGCCTGCATGCGTTTCTGTGCTCCACATGTGTGCAGTGCCTGTGGAAGCCAGAAGAAGTCATGTCCCCTGGAACTGGAGTTACAGATAGTTGTGAGTTACCACATGGATGCTGGGAATCAAATCCGGGTAGAAGGGAAAACTGACCCCACAAACTGTCCTTCAATCTCTGCATGCACATCTTAGCACACTTGTCCCTTCCCACAATAAATAATCAAATGTCATTTTAAAACTACTAAAAATAGAAAAAAATCTCCACATGAATATTCTAGAAGCTTTATATGGAATAGCCAAGGAATGGAAACTATCACTATTGTGCCCAAACTAAACTGTGGCAAGATATAGAAACATACTACTGTTATCCATAGCACTTTGGAGGGATCACAAGGGTACTAAGAAAAACAGAGCCCCCAACATCACATGCTGCATCTGTTTATGTAACATTCACAAAATGAGGATGTTATACTGATGGAGAAGAAACAATGGCATCAGTATCAGAGGTTAGAGTTGGGGACCATATACAATATTTCCTTGTGTGATGACGGAATAGTTATAACCCTGATGGAGTTACATGAACCTGAATGTATGATCAGTTTCCATATAACTATACGTCAAGATGAGTACATGTAATAAGTGGTAATATCCCAATAAGGTCTTCAGTAAATCATTAGCGTTGAACCAAATTCAGCTCACTGGATGTAATATGGTATCATTATCAAAGACATTCTCATTACAGGAAGCTGTATGATGAGTGTTCCAGAAGGCTACTAGTCTCACAACCCCCAAGCCTTTATCCTGACACTTTGCCGCAGCCTACCACCTTGAAGAAGGCCCTTTTCACATCTTTGTTACGAAGGCTGTAGATTATGGGGTTGAGGAAGGCAGAGATAACATTATAGAAGAGAGCCAGCTTCTTGTCCTCTTCTGGGGAGGACTCAGAGCCAGGTCTCATATACATAATCATACATGGGATCGAGAACATAGTGACCACAGTGATGTGGGAGGCACAGGTGGAAAAGGCCTTGATCCGCCCTTGAGTTGAACGGATCCTCAAGATAGCCGCAAAAATATTGATGTAGACGACAATGATGAGGGAGAGTGGGACCAGGAGAAGGATGAAGCCTAGGATGAAGTCCACCTGGTCATTGAGAGAGGTGTCTGCACAGGCCAACTTCAGGACAGCAGGGACCTCACAGAAGAAGTGGTTGATCTCATTGGGACCACAATAGGGAAGAATCATAGCAGAAACAGTATAGATAAGGCCACAGCTGATACCCCAGAACCCACAAAAGGCTACCAGTGACCCACGAAGCAAAGGGCTCATAATGACTTTATATCTGAGAGGATGGCAAATAGCCACATACCTATCATAAGCCATGATTGCAAAAAGCCATGATTCAGTGATTCCCAGCATGAGGAAGATGTACATCTGAGTCACACATCCAATATATGAGATGGTCTTCTTCTCACAGACCAGATGTACCAGCATCTGGGGCACTGTAGTGGTGACATAGCCCATATCCAGAATGGATAAGACACTGAGGAAAAAGTACATGGGTGTGTGGAGGCGGGAATCCATGTGTATCAAGGTGATAATTAGCCCATTGCCTAGGAGGGTGATGATGTAGAGGAGAAGAAAGACACCGAACAGAATGCCGTTTATCTTCGTGTCACTAGAGAATCCTAGAAGAACAAACTCAGTAAGAGAGCTGTGGTTTCCCCAGAGGAAGTCCTGCATCCTTCTCCTGCTGCAAAGATAGAGCAGAGCTGTCACTCATGAAAGAGAAGCCCTTAGATGCTAGCCCTGCTGTCAGTCATACAACAAGTGCGTCAAACATGAAGAGCAAAGCCAAGTACATATAGGTGTCCCACAGAGCTGGGACCAGAGTTTTAAAGAGAATTTCCATTTAATATGAAGCAGCATGCTCCTTTTTTATCATGCAATTCCATGCTTATTCTGAGATGCCAAATTATGATCCCCACATTTCAAAATGTAGAATTTGCAAAAAGAATGGGGGATACCCAAAAAGTAATGTCTTCTAATTCATGGTCCATACAGCTTAAGATGTTATTGGAAGAATTGGGTGTTTAAGAATGCAACATTTGTGTGCAACTAACATCAAATGTCAAAGTCTACCTTCATTTTTAGGACCATCCCCAAACTGACTTTAGTTGAACTGCTCCAAAAGCTTGATGGGCACCCTCAAACTTGAGAGACGTGGCTCTTGGCCTGACTCCCTTGAACAGCAGGAGAATAACTATCATTGGAAATAAGTAGTATCACATCAGTAAGTCAAAGTCACACATTTTCATGGACTGTGGGTAAATGACAAGGGACAAAGGACAAGTCAATAAAGAATGATGGCCTATGGTTTTCCCAATAGAAGAGACACCCTGACCTACGGAACATAGAGATGCTGCCTGGACACCAAGAAAGACAGATATAAAGGAAAATGGCTGAAACCAAACCAAACAAACAAAACAAGTGTTGTCTTGAAATTGGCCTAAGGAGAAAGGGTATGTTTCTTCAAATGATCTATGATGAGACGGGCTGAGGTCCTTTCACAGAAAATGGACAGTAACTGAGCAACACATTTAATGTGGTGAAGAGAGAGGGAGAGAGGGAAGGGAAGAGAGGAAAGATGAAGAAGAATGTGCACTGAGGAAGGATGCAAAAAACCAACCCAGAACTCAGTGAACGAACCCTTTAGAAATCAAAGTTGTTTCCTCTCAAATGAAAGCAGGTCATTGATGACCAAAGACCCACAGCCAAAGATGCTCCAAAGAACTTCCTTGGTCTGAAGGGAAATGGTCCTCTGTGGAGCACAGAATTGAAAGGGAGAATGAAAAGCATAGAATCAATGTGTGAGCCAAGATGAAAGAACATTGACTGTTTAAAGCAACAAAAATAACATCAAAGCAGTGAGAGAGAGAGAGAGAGAGAGAGAGAGAGAGAGAGAGAGAGAGAGAGAGAGAGCAAGAAAGACAGAGAGAGAAAGAAAGAAAGAAAGAGAGAGAGAGAGATGGAGAGAGAGAGAGAGAGAGATGGAGATAGAGAAAGGAGTCAAGAATGTGTCTGCACAGCACATAAGACTTTTTAATGAGTATAGAAGACTATATTCTTAGTTTATATATTAACTATAATATGTGTTTTATATTTTATGTGCATCTGTGTATCTATGTGTTTGTGTATCTATAGAACATGTAGCAAAATATCCCAAAGAATAGGAGGGAAATGGTTAAGATTTCTCCAGTGTTTGGGAAGTGGTGGCATACTAATTCAAGCAAGCCTGGAACAGGCCAAAGCCTCTAAAGTACTTTTTCTGTAAAGGAATGGGTAACACTCTAGTTTTTCAAGCCACAGACAGCCACTGTTGAATGATCACACAACAACGTGTTGGTCTGTGATGGATCGCGTATGTAGTGGGGACCTCCTAAGATTACAAGAGAACTATAGAATTCCTGTTGCTCAGCAGCTTTACTGCCAGCTGCTGTACAGCAATGCCTTGTTCAGATGCCCATGATGATGCTCTGTAGGCTAACCCACTGCACTGAGGGGCGGATGAAAGCACAGTACATGCAACTGTGACAAGAGTGTAACACTTGAAAGTGATGTTCAACAACTGACTCCGTTATTGTTTATGCACTTGCTATTCTACACCTTTAAATCGTTACTATGAAGTTCATCGCTACTTATAAAATGTTCAGTGCAAAGAACCTGTTGTCTTACAGAGTACAGTATGACAGAGCAGACAGTGTCACAGAGAATCATAGAGTATGATACATCATAGAACACGTTGTCATAGAGTGCTATAGAGTACACTGTGTCACAGAGCATGCTGTATCCTAGAGTATCAGAGAGCACTCTGTCTTGAAGAGCACACTGTGGTATGGAGCAGATGTTCTGTCATCACATATCAGCGAGAATGCTGCTTCATAGGGCATGCTGTGTCATAGAGCACACACTGTGTCATGGGGAATCCTGTGTTACGTTTGTAGCAGCCTCACACATCTCACGGTTATCACATTCTTCAATCAAGTCATGATTCAAGTGTTTGATCTGCTATTCAAGGGTTTGATCTGTATACCCTCCAGGGTTGTATAAATATACCCTATAAACTTCACAAATGACAAAATTTCTGAAACATTATCCATGTCATGTAACAATTTTTTTAAAAAAATTGGTCTCGTTTTCTTTTTTTAAGATTTATTTATATTTTATGTGTATGGGTATTTTGCTTGCATGTATGTATGTACACCATGCATGTGCCTGGTGCCCATGAAGGTCAGAAGAGAACATCAGACCCCCTGGAACCAGAGTTCCAGGTGGTTGTGAACCACCATGTTGGTGCTGGGATCTGATCCCAGGTCCATCTCTCCATCCCACCTCATATACTGCATTTTTAAAACTCTTTAAATATATATAATGTACCAACCTTTGCTCTAGAATAAGAACCAAAAAAAAACCTGAAGCAACAAAATTCAAAATATTATAAATTACATAAATTATTAAAAGTTTAATGAATACTCAGACATCTTGGTTAACTCCAAAGAAAGATAATAATAATAATAATAATAGTAAGGATAAAGAACCTAAGTTAGAATAGTGAGAGCCGTCCTAATGAAAACTTTAAAACACTGAAAAAAAAAAACCTTGAAGAAGATGTCAGATGATAGAAAAACCTCCCCGTGATGGACTGAGAGAACTAATGGCTGTGGCTGCCGAAAGCAATGTGTAGAGTCAACGCCATCCCATTCAGAATCCTCCATCCCATTCAGAATCCTCCATCCCATTCAGAATCCTCCATCCCATTCAGAATCCTCCATCCCATTCAGAATCCTCCATCCCATTCAGAATCCTCCATCCCATTCAGAATCCTCCATCCCATTCAGAATCCTCCATCCCATTCAGAATCCTCCATCCCGTTCAGAATCCTCCATCCCATTCAGAATCCTCCATCCCATTCAGAATCCTCCATCCCATTCAGAATCCTCCATCCCATTCAGAATCCTCGTGCTGTTGTTCACAGAAAGAGAAAAACACAACCTTAAAAATTCACATGGGAGCACAAAATAGCCTGGATAGTTGAAGCAATCAAAATAAATAAATAAACCAGAGTCCACTGTCACATCTGATGCCAAGTTCTACTGCAGAACCATGTGACAAGAGCAGCTAGTAACTGTCTTAGTTATTTTTCTATTGCTGTAACCAAACATCATAACCAAAGAAACTTATAAAAGAAAGCACTTGGTTTGGCTTATGGTTTCAGAGGGCTGGCGTCCATATGGCAGAGTGGAGGAACAGCTGAGATCTCACATCTTGGTCCACAAGTAGGAGATAGAGAAACAGCTAACTAGAAATCTCATGAGTCTTTTTTTTTTTTTCACCTAGAACTCACTCTGTAGACCAGGCTGACCTCAAACTCAGAAATCTGCCTGCCTCTGCCTCCCAAGTGCTGGGATTAAAGGTGTGCACCAACACCACCTGGCACTTTTTTCTCTTTTTTTTTTTTTGAAACCTCAAGGCCCATCCCCAGTGGTACACAAGCTCCAATCAGGCCACACAAACTGGGAAAAAATAGTTCCACCGACTGGGGACCAAGTATTCAAACACATGAGCCTAATGGGGGCATTCTCATTCAAACCACCACAGTATTTGGCACAAAGACAGACCACAGAGCAGTGGAATGCAACAGAGGACCAGATAAACACACATAACCACAGCCACCTGACTATTGACAAAGTCAACAAATATATGTATTGGAGAAACAGCAGCTTCTTCAGCAAAAACTATATCTGCACACCGAATAACAAAACTAGACCACTGTCTCTCACCCTTCATGAAAACCAACTCCATATGGATCAAAGAACCTAAGATTAAATGTGAAACTCTGAAACTGCTACCAGAAAAAGGGAGGGAAAACATACAGACACACACAGAATTTCTCAACAGGACTCCAGTCACTCAGGGAGCGACGTCAACAAGAGACAAATGGAACCTTATGAAATAAAGAAGATTCTGCACCTTCAAGGAAACAGTTCATCAAGTTAGGTGTGGTGGTAAACACTTGTGATCTCAGGTGGCAGAGACAGGAGGATCATTGCAAGTTTGAGGTAAGCCTGGACCACATAGCAAGATGCTGTCAAAAAAGGGAAACAGTTAACAGAGGTAGAGACAGGAGAAAACCTTTGCTAGTGATACATCTGACAGAGGATTCATATCTAGACTATAAAAGGACTAAAGACATGAAGAACAAAAATGTGAAATGACCTAATAAATGTGATAATGAAATAAACAGACAGTTCTCAAAAGATGAAGTGCAAATGGTCAATAATCATTGGAACGATTTTCAACATCATTAGCTATCGGGGGTGAACAAATTAAGACTACATTGAGGTTCCATCTCACCCTGGTCAGAAAGGCAGTCAGTGAGAAAACAGACTCTAGCAAGGCTGTGAACAAATGTAAGCTAACCCAGCCTCTGTGGACACCAATATGGAGATGTAGCATGAATTGCTAAACGGTCTTATTAATAAAAAAAAAACCCAGAGCCAGATATTGGGGTGAAAACTGAGAGATCAGAGGAATAGGACAGGCCACAGCCAACCTCACCTCACCAACCCTCAGTCTCCAGAGAGAGCTACTTCCTGTATACTCACACCTATATACCTTTCTGTGCCCTGCCATCTTACTTCCTCTCTCTGCCCAGCTATATCACTTCCTCTTTCCACCCAGCTCTATCACGTCCTGTCTGTCTGTACAAACCTCCAGACCTCTATGGTTAACTAGTGCTGGGATTAAAGGCATGTGCCACCATGTCTGGCTCTGTTCCCAGTGTGGCCTTAAACTCACAGAGATCCAGATGAATCTCTGCCTTTCGAATGCTAAGATTAAAGGTGTGTGCTACCACTGCCTGACCTCTATATTTAATATAATGACTGGCTTTTTCCTCTGATCCCCAGGTAAGCTTTATTGGGGTGCACAAATAAAATATCACCACATGGAGATTCCTCACTAAAAAGAGATTTACCCCGTGCTACAGCTATACCTCTGTTGGATCTCACCCAAAGGACTCTAAGGCAACACATCACAGAGACACTTTCACATTACTATTTACTGCAGCGCTGTTCACAATAGCTAAACTATGTGCAGGTATCCAGCAGCAGAAAAATAGATAAAGAAGATGTGGTGAATATATACAATAGAAAATTTTTCACCCATAAAAAGATTGAAGTTATGTAATTTAGAAAAAATAAATACAACTGGGATAATCTATGAAGTGAATTAAGTCAGTCTTAGGAAGACAGACATCACACACTTTCTCATTTTTGGTTCCTATATTTTATACAAATACATAAAATCATGTATTTATAAACCATTTGAGTAGAAGCATAATTGTCTAGGAAAACAAATGAGGCTAATAGAAGGAAGGAAAGAAAAAAGAAAGTAGGGTACAGAGAAAATACACTATAAGTACATTATACACATGTATGGAAATATTATGTAACCCAGTACCATGTACAATGTATACACACCCATGAAAATTAATTTTAAAAGAGAAAAGAAATGAATGCTTAAGACAAATACCAATCAGGTGGTAAAAGGATTAAACTCAAACCTAATAGAAACAGAAACTACATTAAATGTAAATGTAGCATACAAATCAACTGTGTGATCAAGCTGGATTTTTAAAAACTAAAAACAGTAAAAGAATTCTGCAACTGAAATTTAAACACTCATGAGAAATAGAAAATAGATATTATCAAGATGGTACCAATCAGTTTGGGACTTCCTCCCTCCTTACCTTATCTTGTTCATAGTGTGCTCTGGTGGTGACTGAAGCCATAGGCTACAGGGATGAGGAGGAGCTAACAAACTAAGGGGCAACGATGTGTACTGTCTCCCCTTCTTACTGCAGACATCTAATTCCATTTGCAAGGTTACAGAAGGCTTCCTGTGACAGGTAAGATCCCAATCTTTGATGCCACCTATAGGGATGTCTAGAGGGTATGCTGTGCAGAGGGTCATCACTTGTAACATCATGAAGCAAGAACTAAGTGAGACAAGAGTCAGAGCAGGAAAGGTAGGCGAGGGCAGAGCATGGAGGGACCATGATGCCCTGCAAAACAGGCTGAAGGTGGTGGACCTTACAATGATGGAGGGAAGAATAGATTAGGTATCAGTTCTCTATCTGGGGTCAATCATTCTGGCAAGAGTGGAGAGAATACATTGTGGGGGAGGGGAAGATGCAGTTATTCAGGAAAGAATGATACAAATGGAAACTAAGGCTGAGAGTATAGACATGAAAAGCAGGCATTAGAGAGGAGAGTTTTAGATCTGTGATTAAATAATGCTGAGAAAGAGAGGCATCAAAGATGGATTCCAAAGATGAGAAGGGGGTGTACTTAAGTGCGGACGTGGATGATGCACCATTCACTGAGATAAACAACACAGGAGTGGAAATCTGAATGAGACGCACAGTGGGTCTAGTTTGTGGCTTAGGAAGCTTATGGAACTTCTAGCCTCCAGTAGACATCTGTATCTAGAATGGAAGACACAGCTTTGAGGAAGAAATCAGTGTTGTAGGCACTTTAGTAAGAGCTGAAGCAATTGGAGGTGATGGGGCCACAGGGGAGTGTAAGAAGGAAGAGAGATGAATGAAGAACATTGCAAAACCATAAAGGCTAGCCTCAAGGAGAAAACACAGGGAAAGGCATGGTATTGGGAGTCAACAAAGGATGTCATGTGATAAAAAAAAAAAAAACAAGGTGAGACAAAGTCCTCAAAAAAAGGTCTTTGTGGCCCAATGTGTGTAGGTATCAAGTGAGACAAGAGGCAGAGTTCTGCCACATTAGCACCTAGGAAATTCTGGAAAACTAGGTCTAGATCACATTAAGAGGAATGAGTCCAGGCTGGCTTTCTGAGACTCTGACACAGGATGGAAAGAGCTTCATGGTGAAGGAAATGCAGCTTGTTATGATGTGAGGATCACGGCCCATCTAGTGATGGGAATTAATGAGGAAGCTGAAACACAACAGAGTGACAGACAAATGATGGAGCATGGATTTGATGCATCAGGGAAGGGTAGATAAAGACTAGAGAAGGGGGGCACCACACTATCATCAGAGGAAGCCCCTTCCTCCACGGCTGATTGGGGAGAGGTAAAGATGAGTCTGGATGCAGAGCATTGAAATGTTGCCATCAGATTGGAGACTCTAAAGTCTACTTGTGTCATAACTATGGATGACTCTTTGAGTTTTTCCTTTACAACATCCCTCATGTGCTCACTAGGAAAACAAATACAACGTGTGACAGAAACATATACAAAACTATCTCTGACAAGAGCAGCCATCTGAAACCAGTCAACCTGGGGCTTAAATACATCTCTACATTTAGGTCTCTCAACAAGACCCTTCACCTGAACATCAGGTGACAAGAGCCTACTTCAAGTCCTTCCTTGGATACTCAGCAATCAGTCACCTCAAACTTGCCATGCCCCCAAATGCACTCTTGGTTTTTAGCATGTGGTCTACTCAGAGTCACAGCTACACTGATGTCCCCATTGTTCATGCCATAAAACTGCTACTGCAATCCACTCTATTCCACCCAGTGCTGACTAGGTGTTCCCCGTGGATCTTCAGCTCAGCATCTACTCCGTGCACTTCTCTCCTCAGCATCTCCTGGTAGAGCTGCATGCACTTCCTTCCCACCTCCACCAGTTGTCATTTCAGTAGAGACCCCTTCCTCTCAACAGCTTTCCTGAGTGCAGCCATCCCTCACGGTCTCTTTTCCTTGGTTATATTTCTTACAAAAATGCACCTATTCAATATTGTCTGCTGCCCTAACTAGACAGAGGCTCTGTTTTATG